TGGAGACCCTCCTTCACCTGTTGCACTCCTCCACCAATGCTTCTCTCTCCTCCTTGCTCGGGTTCTTCTGTCTCTCATAAGCTTGGAATAGGATCTGTTGTGAGGCAGGACCCCACTTAAAGCGGTTTCTTCTCCCTTTCTTGGTGGGCAGGTCATCTCCCATGGGCTCCTCTGCCACGAGTCCCTGACCAGCATGGGTGAACTCTGGAAACACAAATGGGCAAAGGGCTTTGCTTGCTGATAGGATGTTTTTGTAACATTCTCTTTCTTGGAATTCAGCTGGCTCAGAGCAGCTTATCCTCACTCAGCGTCTCCTACTATTGAACAAATGCAGGTACAAAATCTAGATGAGATTTAAATAAAGCTCTATATTTGTCTAAAATGGGTAAGATCATCCCCAATGGGCCCATCGGACATGTTGCATCTTCATTCCTAGTGTGAAGCAGTGAAACAGAACAAGCAGCAGGAGCTGGGGTGGATGCAGCTCATGTAGAGTCCAACCCTCTAGGCTCAACTAAAGGCCAAGTTATTAATTTGACTAGGGGCCCATCTAATATGTATAAAATGAAAGAGATTACAGCCACATTCGTTCGTGTGGAGGTTGCAAAGGCTATTGTTTTAAGCATGTATTTGTAACACGCTGGCTTAGTATGTGTGAGAGATGATATCCCACTAATGGCTGACCCCAGAGCTACAGCCTGCTACTTACTCATGGCTAAAGGAATTACTTCTTTAGATGAAATTGCAGAAAACTCTTTTCTGGTGCTGAAGGTCCTGGGTTCTATCATTGCTGGTGATCAGCTATGCTGTCTGTGCTTACATAAATGCACTTAGTTGGGAGTGCCCCATCTTGGTCCAAGTCGATGCCTCCACTTGGATATACCAATAGATGAGAGCTATAGCCTGCTCTCCACCTTTAAAGAAGTGGGTGGCTGCAGGTTCCTTTGTGCAGTTTGGCCACCCGTGTTGAATGGTGACATGGACTTGTCTAACCTTACTGCTAGAAAGGGCCCCCCTCCCCTGCCTTCCACACTGCAGATGAGGGTAGGGGGAGCTATAGGACACTAGAGTTAGGAGAGATTTGCTGTTGCTGTACTTACGCTGGGCCACCTCTCGCTGCTTGCGGACGTACCAGGTGTAGAGGGCAGCTCTCTTCTGGGTCTTCATGGGTGTGCCTTTGTTGAGGTGCTGTGAGAGGTGAGACTGATTTAAACCCGTAGTGTCCACCACCTCCCTTTGAGGGATGTTGTGCTGCTGGAGGTAGGATTTCACCATTTTTGCTACTCTCCAGGGATCCTCTCTAGAAGGAACAGAAAATGCACCTCATTAAATATAGAATTCTTGTCCGTGTATCCAGGTTGCACAGAAGGGATTCAAGGAATGTCAGCCAGCACTTCTTGCATGAAGTGTGGGCACCACAAGCAATGAGAGAGGTGAATCCTCTGTTCACGCTTTGCCTTTGATGAGGCAGGTAGGATAGATTTAGTATGCTACATAATAACCGTTCATCTCTCCAAGGAAATCTCTTGTTCAGTGTGACACTCTATGCAGTGGTTTGACCTAACCTCCAAGCTAAATGACTTACTTGCCTAAATCTTCTAATGAGTATTTTTGATAGCCCTGGAGACTGAACTCCTTGGAGTAGCAGTGGTGACAGTTTCCTCTATGTCATCCTTCCTATGTAGCTCAGTTCTGACCAAGAGCCTGTCACCTCTGGAGCAGCGGGAGAGGGATGAGGGGTGGAGCAGGTGATGTCCCATATTTCAGGGTTCCATTTCTCACAATGCTGTATGTTCTGGGCTCTGCTTTTCAGTTTCAGGAGGTGGGTCTCTTTTTCTCTGCTTCCCTGTCTGGGGGGGATGTGTGCTCACAGATAACGTAATGTACTTTCCTAAACTGGGTTCACTTTAATATCAGACCGACTCATCCTCACTTGCACTCACACTCTGACTCTGGCTCTGATCCAGCTTGGGGTAACGCACAGCGGAGCCGCCAAGAGAGAGTGGAGCTCCAAACCCAAAATAACTTGAAATGATTCTACAATATATACTCATGCACGTGAGACTCCTGTACCCAGACACGGACCATATACACCACCCACATGTCCTTGCACATATGGCACTTTACATATACACATATAGATAAGCACACCATCTGCTCTTTCAAATTTTCCATTTTGCATCTATGTACTTAGAGAAAAAAACGAACACCTATTTACAATCCCAACCACTGCACTGTACAAGCCAAGAAGTGTAGAACTGTGCATGAAAAAAACCCCAAAATCGTAAACTGACCTTGGGAATTTCATAATAGTTGTAAATCTGATAAGGTTTATCAGAACGTCTGATAAGGTTCCTGAGCATTTGAGTAACCATGGGGCTGACTAAGGGGATTGTGGTTGAATTTCGGTGAGTGGTTTGGGTTTGACTGAACCTGAAACTCAGTAGAACTCGGAAGATGTGAACCAAGCAGTTTAGAACCAAACATGAACAACCCCTGTGTTGAGGAAATGTCTGATGTCTTTGCAGATGTAACATGGAGCTGCCCTCTGTGTTTCTAATGTGAAATGCCCGAGGGACTGACTGGACTGGACGTGATCCCAACACGGTATAGATAATGTTGATGTCCTCTCCAAATACCAGTAGCAGGTGGGTGGAATAAGAGAAAAATACCCAGGACTATGGGGAAAATACAGCAGGACAGTTGGGGGTGGAGGGCGAGAGCAGCCTGAGTACTAGCTGCTTTGTTGATTCTGTGGGTTGTCAGAGGCTGAAAGGCGATAAGAAGGACAAAGTCCGCACCTGTTCTCACAGCGCAAACACCCTTATCTCTGTTCCTGCTGCAGCCTCTTCCACAGCAACCAGACGGTCCAAGGAGCAAGCTCAACTGCAGTTAAAGTGTGGCAGGAGGCTGAGACGGGGAGAAATCTCTTTTCTTAAAATGGTACCACTGGTTCCTCTCTGATAGTGGAGCTGTGCCAAAATGCTCCATTTTCCACCCTCTCCCCTTGTACTCTTCAAAGACCCCCAAATTAGGGCAACCCATCTAGCCTATTTTTTCCCATTCCGGAGCTTTAAGCAGTTGGTGTTTGCTCTACTACCTCTTGAGATGAGGACTAATCTCCTCCTTATTGTGGTCTCTCTTAATTCAGCCTCTATGAATCTAGCCTGCAGCTGAGCCCTGGGCACTTTCCTTCTTTAAAGAGATACCCAACAGCCCCAGGATTCTGTTGTACAGTGATAGATTAGAAGATGCTCAAGGGCAAGGCTTCTGCCCTGTCTTTCAGATCATGTTTCTGGGTCAGCTAGTGAAGAAAGGGAGGGGGATTCATGATCACCCATAGACTCTTCTATAACATACTGACTTCCTTCCCACTTGGCATCTGAGCCACTTACTTACTTCTCTCTCTCTCTCTTATCAGAATCCCCAGCTCTCTCTGTCAGGAAGGAGTGGGGAGGTACTTGGGAGAGGATGAGACTCACACTCTTTCATAGTTTAGAACACTGTGGGGTGCCAAGGTAGATACACATCCCCAAGGTATGTCTACAATTAGAATCATAGAATATCAAGGTTGGAAGGGACCTCGGGAGGTCATCTAGTCCAAAGCAGAACCCTGCTCAAAGCAGAACCAATCCCCAGACAGATTTTTGCCCCAGATCCCTAAGTGGTCCCCTCAAGGATTGAACTCTCAACCCTGGGTTTAGCAGACCAATGCTCAAACCACTGAGGTGCATCTGCATTTGGGAGCTGTTTACAGCACGGATGTCCCCTAACACGGGTAAAGGGTGGTTTCATGGTGTAGCATAGATGATGCCTTAACTGTGTGCACATGTACTGTCAAAGCCAAAGCTTTAATTCCTGTGTAAAGAGACCTCGTGACCCTAGGTTATACTGTAGAGCAGGCTGTGTTGCTAGGTCAGTTGAACACTCTCACAGACTATCACTTATCCTCATCGTGCCGCCTGCAGAGACCTTCACCATAGACACAAACACCAGGGGTGAAATCCTTGCCCCACTGAAGTCAATGGCAAAACTCTCTTTGCCTTCAGTAGGAGTAGGATTTCACCCCAGGCCCAATCTTGCTCACCTTACTTGGGCAAAACGCCCAATTAATGTAGTGAGTCAGGACGGCAAAAAGGTCCCAGCCTTGTTCAACATCTGACCACTTCCTGCCTCATTTTGGCTTCAGCTTCCCATTCTTCCCAAGTACAAACTCTACCCCCATTGCTTTACCATTCTTCAGGGTCTATCTCCAGATTTTCCTTATCCTCAGATAATAGACTTTTACTCTTTCCTTCCCATCTTCTAGGTCCTGGTCTCTTGCCTTCAGCTTCTCCTTGTCTCCTGAGCATAGGCTCTCTCCCTGGCCCTATACAACCTCTGGGGCATGGGGTCCTATCTCTTCCATTCCAGCTGCTCCTTTCCTCAGTTGTGAGGTTGCTTTTTGAGGGCGTATTCACCTCCCTTTTGTTACTTGAACAATAAGTAACCCAGGTAGTTAGTTATAAACTCAAAGGGAACAAGAGGCTAGTTGATAATTTATAGCAACATCTCAAATTTAAATGGAAAGTAAATATCAAGTTGTTAGCATTAAAGAAAACCCAATCCAGAGAGCTGGGGATGTAACATTCAAGGGACCTTCTCTCTCCTTCACTCTTCCTGATTTTTTCTTCCCAATCTTTCTCTCTCTCTCTCCCTTTTTTTGTCCTCTTTCTGTCCATCATCTTTCCTTTATTCTCCACCATCTCTCAGGGCAGCATAATCTGATCCTTTTCAGATTCCCTTGTGCCAAAGATCTGATTTGATCTCTTGGAGGCAGGTTCTGAATTCCTTGTGCTTTGAACTGGAAACGAGTTCAAAGGAGGTCCAGAGCTTTGAAGTGCTCAGAATCATCCCTCCAGTCCTTTTAATTGAAGACTGCCAGACATCTAACGCCGGTTTCAATGCACAGACTGGACCTGAGATAGGCAGAGAGCAGGGAAGGTAAGACTAACCTCAGCATGGTTGTTTTCATTTGAACTTTGCTTGGTTTGCCTTAGCTTGGCCTATACAATCAGATGCTGACATAAAAGGGGTGTTATAGCTTAATCTCAGGGCCCCTCAGCAACCAGCTCCCTGGGGGAAAGGGCTGGGCCTTTTACCTCTACATCTCCCTGTTTCCTCTTCAGAAAATATGCCCAGAAAATCTTATCATCTCAACCTCCCTCTTTCCTTGTGGAATTCTACCCTTTGTCCTAGAGGGAAAAATTGCTATACCTACCCACAGGTAACAGCAGCCCTTATCCTGACTTCTCATTATACATCCGCCGCATACCCCTCACCGATTGAAGTCTGCTCCTTCCCCTGTCCCCCACCAAAGACAATCTGTATTCTATCTTCTCCATAGAAAATAGCTAATAATTTCCCCCATAGCCTCCCCCCACAAATGAATTAATTTACTATTGACTTCTCCCTCCAGTTCTGTCCTTTGTGGAGTGAATTGAGGCATTTTCAAAAACACCTACATTATTTAGGATTGTGGGTCCCATGGAAGAGCAATGAGTCTTGTACTTCTGAATCACTGAGGTACTCTTGAAAATCCTATCCCTTAACTCTTTTCTGGGATTCACAGGGTAGTGGGTGAAGGGCTGCCCCACTAGCTCCTCACTAAGGAAACCTCCCTATGGATTGCATACTCAGTGTATTCTGTAGGGGCAAAGGGTAATGGACTCCAGCAAGTGAACTTAGAGCTATGTAAGGGAGCAATTACCTCCATACTGGATTCATTCAGTGTAATACAGTGGTTCACAAACTGCTTCGCAGGATCACTAGTGTTTCACAGAGCACATACTAATGGCCTTCAGAAAGGTGACTGGTCACATTGTGCTTTTTCTCCTTGTTAGCAGGCAGTACATCAAAAGCACAGAAATACATTAAAAATTTTCCTATGTTACTTTCCCATGTAAGCAAGTAAGTTACTGTGACTATGAACAGGAGGTGAGGTGTCCATGAGACAATCTTTTGATTGAGATATGGTCTACAATAGTCTGAAAACTGCTGGTAACACATAAAGAGATTTTTGCACTTTCATAGTGCCTGTGTATTTGAATACCACAAAATCATGCACTCAGGTTTTTGAGCAACCATCAATTTGCAAGTAGAGAAGCTCTGTTCTGCATGCCATTGTGCTAGGTGAGCAAGGCTGCTCTCCTTCCTTGTGTCCCAGCTGGTGGGAAGTGATTTCTATAATACACCATTTTGTACTATGTATAATATATATTGACTTCTTACCACATCTCCAATCCTGTTCCTTTGTCAAGTGAATTGAGACATTTTCAAAAACACCTACATTATTTAGGATTATTTATATATAATATAAATTATTATTTTAAGGACATGGCCATCAGGCCTTCTTCTGTTAAAAGAAGGCTTCTTTCCTGAAGGGGCTTCTTAGTTGTTGCTTGCCCATTATCGGTCTCTGATATTGACCCAGATGTTTTTAATTTACTTCCCCAAACACACAATTGCTTTTTAAAATTTTGCAGAAAGGCAGAGATTTTTATCAGATCTGTCTATCCACTGCCCCCATTTAGGAGACATTTTTAATGGGTTTGGGTCAATATGCTCCATGCCTTGTGGTTAAGACAGAAGATCATGGTTCTATTTCCAGCCCTTCCACCAACTTCCCATGTAACCATGGTTAAGGCACTTAACCTGTCCGTGCCTTAGTTTCCTCATCTGTAAATGAGGATGATGTCTCATTCACAGTGTGTAAAGAGCTTTGAGATCCTCAGTTAGAAAATGCTGATGAAGTGCAAAGCGTTACTGTAAAAATGTGGTATAGAAATTAGTTTTGTGCTGAAACTGACAGAAACCACAGGGCAACTGGAAAGATGGGGAAGATCAGAAACCAGAGTTTATGCCAAGGTGAAGGGAGATGTGGGGGTGAAGGACCACACTGGATCCCCAACTCCTGGATAGGAATTCCCTCCAGTTGTGAAATTCTCTTTACCAGATCACAGTGGATGGAGTTTAATTCCTGCTTCATCCATTCATTAAAGAGGGGATAAAGCCAGGTGCTCTTCTCTAGCTTCCATGGCTTTCTCTATGGAGAGACACCTGATAAATCATCAGAAGTTAATGATCAAAAAGCTTATCTCAGGGTCTTTTCGTTTATAAATTTATAAGACAAAAGAGAAATAATAAAGCCATTGGATAATTAGTAACTAGCCAGGGCCCGCCCGGTGCAACTGGAGCTCAAACTGCCCCAAGATCTCTACACAGGCTTAGGGAGAAGAGAGAGAGAAGGAGATGGGTAAAAGCAATGTGAAAGAGAGACAGACAGACATAGAAATAGGGTGATGAGAGACAGAGAGAAGTGGGGGGGGGGGGATAGGAAAGGAGGATCTGAGGAAAACAGATATAGAACAGGGGAGTTGGAAACAGCAAAGGTGTAAGAAAGAGGGAGGGGGACAAAATGAAAAGGCAGAGAAGGGAAAGGGGTTTATTGGATGGAAAAGAAGATTGAATTATGGGGAGCATCTTTCCTCTCAGGTAAGTGCTGTTCCAGTGTATTTTCTTCCTTCAGCTACTGTAATGTGATCAGCTCCAAATCTGCCCAGACTCTCTAGAGGTCAGGCAATAGAACCATCCCCTCTTAAATATTACAGTGAATATTTAACCCTTAAGTACTGTGCTATCTCTCTATCTTGGGGCTATTGCTGGGGTTTTGCGTGTACTTTTTCTTGTTATGTTTTGTATTAATATCCTTTCCCCATAAAAAGGAATGGCCACAAAGCCGGTAAATCCTCTAACTGCAGTTTAATTTTCCCATAAAAGATTGTAAGTACCGGTTTGAGTCTCCAGAACATCGCAGTCACCCTGTGCTTCCTGTCTGCTCCTAATCTTGGAGAATAGCTTCAGTGCAGACAGATGAGATTTTGTGGCTAAGGATTTAATTGTGTTAGGTGGATTTGAAGGGCGATATCCTGAAGTCCTTGCTCAGGCAGACCAGCCATTGGAATCCCTAGGATTCATGTCGCTGAGTTAGAATTGCAGGAGCACAAATCTGATTCTGTCTATGGGTTTACTGGAGTGAGAGTGAATGGTTCGGGAAGCTCATACTTTTTTGGCTATTAAGACTAAATAATTGCATGTTAAGGCAAGTCATACAACAGTAGTCCGTAGACTGCACATTGTCTATATTCAGTGTTCATGATGGGAGATGGAGGATAGAAGCATTGGGTATGTTGACCTGGATTGCCAACCAATTTGGCCGGCACTCCTTCATCTGAAATTCCCACTGAAATCAGTGGGAGTCTTACCTGCCCAAAGACATGAAGATCAGGCTCTCTTAATTTATCTCTATTGACAAATACTTGACTCTAGCTAAAGTCAGTAAAATAAAAATATACATCTCGGTAAAAATTTGAAGAGAACTTAGGAGTATTTTTCCTTCCTATGATGAGAATCCCCACACTACATGATGGAAGTTAATATGATGACTTCTTTTCTTATTTTTTTCTAACCACTGAAGTGGTGGCTTCTGTAAAAACTGACAGACAGCTAAAGCGACAGAAGTTGTACAGCTCCCAGATTTTTCTGAAGTCCTTGTTTCCCAGATGATATTAGCACTTTTAATATGTAATTGGGCCCCATGGCACTTTGTGTGTGCGTACGTTTGAAATGTCTTTGGAAGGAAACTGAACATTATTAAGGAACATGAAGCTTGTCAGTTCAGTGGGTTTGGGGGCTGGCATTGATGGGGAGAATCTCTGCACGCTTAGATCAACTGTAATCCCTAACATATTTCAGGGAAGAGGTGAAGGAAAGAGAAATAAAGGAACGGAGAGCAAGAAGGGGAAAGGAAAACCATGTCCTTACTGTAATAGTCTCTCCACCACAGCCTTCTGGTGAGCAGCCTCCTCTGGACTCAGATTTTCCAGCTCCTTCATTATTGGAGGGGTGAATTCCTCCCCATCGTCAGAGGTTTCCTCCTCGGACATCCTGGATTCCTCTATCCCATTGGGCAGATTGGGAATTTCAGCACAGGGTTCCCCTTTTTCTGCCTGGATGGCACTGATGGCACGCTGGCTTTCACTCTGGAGGGCATAGGGGTCCACTTCCCCGAGCGCTTTGATCAGGGTCTCCTTGGTTAGCCCTGACTCCAGCAGTGCTCCCAGCAGCTCCACCTGAAGATGACTCAGCTTAGAGACCATGGTCTTCAGTCTGGTGTCCCTTGGATTTGAGTTTCAGCACGTTCTGCCTTCAGCCTTCCCTACACCATGTTCCTGAGGTAACACGCCCGACTGTCAGCAGAGTGGGAATGGCATAGACTCCCGCCTTTGCACCCCCCCCAAAAACAAAATACAAAAATGAGCCACTTCAGACCCCCCACGACTGTCCTGAGCCAGTGCTGATAAAGGGACCCTTGGCTATCTGTTTACATTGGAGCAGTGTAAATTCTCCAAGGTTCATATTTATCCGTGTGCTTAGCAAGTTACTGAACTTTGGACTTCAGCACTGCAGCAGCAGTTCACAAAGTGCAGGGGGGGGGAGGGGAAAAGGTAGGGAGGCAGAAGAGAAAAGGAGAGTAAAAGGAATGGACAGAGAAAAAGCCAGGATGGGAGATAGATAGAAGAGAGAAATAGAAATAAAATTGAATGAGAAAGTGAGCGCGGAGAAGTCTGACTGGTTCTTGGCCCTATTGGTTTAAGAGCAGGGATAGGCTTGAGGAACCAGAAGCATGGGGCTAAGCCCCACCAAAACCTTTGGGTTGGGAATTAGTGGCCTCAGGAGCTTGGCCAATCTTTGTGCACCACACCCCAGGCATCAAGTACAACCTCTGGATTTATTCTAATATTCCAAGATCTCCCATACTCTCAAAGGGCTCCCATTGACTTCAGTGGGACAGGCTGGGGCACTAAATGACTGCTGAGCCAGTTCCCCACATTGGCACTTACCTGTCCCCATTTCTCTTCATTGGAACCTACTGCCTTTATTATTCATTTGGTGAGCGCTCACAGTGTGTACTCTTTATAAAGGAGACATGGGGCCTGCCCCACTGAATTTACAATCTAAGCAGGCAAACAAAATAAACACACAAGCTGTGTTCTGGCTATTGGTGCACTTCTAAAGGTTCCTGGCTTGCCAACAACTGCTCCTCCTCCTCCCTATGAGTGCCACCCACAGTGACTTCATTTATCAACACCATAGTTCTACCCCTATCGATATTAACCTGCTTTAGGAATCTACTCCCAACTGTTGGATGTCTTTTTAAAATATATGCACTAGTTAATCCCAAAAGGTATGGGCTTGATGCAGGAATCACTTGGTCAAATTCTCTGGCCACTGTTGTATGGGAAGTCAGATTAGATGTGAATAATGGTCCCTTTTCACCTTAACACCTGTGAATTAATGTATCTGCTCTGATTGGCTAACAGAAGGCATAATTAAAATTATCAACTTGTAATAGTCTAATCTCCCAATACTGATTTTATAGCTTGTGTCATCTTGACTGGGAATGAATGATTGTTTCCCCTGTGGGATCAGAGAAGGGAGGATTTTAACCATAATGTTTTACTGAGGGGGTCTTTGTAGATTCTTTCCCCCACATTTGTCTCCCTTTTATATGTTACCCTCTAAGGCCCAAGATGAGGACGGCTGGATGGAGCTCCCTCCACAGCCCAAGGACTGACCAAAGGTGATGCTGCAGAGTGACCTGGGGCACTCCCTTCCCTTTGGGGGCTTCCCAAGCCTCACTCTGTAGAGGTTCACTTGCACATTGAGTCAGTGAAGGACAAAGCTCCTTTTCAAAATGGATCCCCATTATGACAACACAACAAGCTGGGCCGATTCTAGGGATGGGCAAGGAAGGTGGTTGCCCTTACCAGCAAGTTCCGAGGGTTTTGGTGGTATTTTTTTTCTCCACTCGGCTGATTGGCCATCTGTTTTTCTTTGGTGTTTGTTTGTTTTCTTTGGCCACAATAGGGGGCACTAAAAACATTTTCTGCCCTCGCCAGCAAAACTCCTAGGGCTGCTTCTGACAACAAATCATCAGTGGATTGCTGGGTCAGCCCTTCAGCAGGGATTTTCACTAATAGTTTGCCTTTGTTTCAGATGACTGCTCCAGAAAGCACCTCCTCCCCTTGGCACAGGGCAGAATACACAAGTAAAGTTAACATGGCTAACCTGAGGTCCTGGAACACAGCTTCAGCCTGGTTAAAGGCACAGCATACTGTAGTCTGAGCCCCAGTTGTAAGTTTGGAAAGCTTTTGTTGTCATTACAAAACCCAGCTGTGATGTATGTAGCTATGAAACTGCAATCCCCTCGTTTTCTGTGCACTGCACCTTTATGTCTCTAGGACCTCTGTGTGCAGAGACAACAGCCATAGTGTTCTTGCTGTTCTTTCATGGGGTGTTTTCCTTAAACTAAAATAAATCATTCAGAGTGAAAATGTATTTTTATTTTAAGAATGTTTGTATTTGTTGTCTCAAACATACAACAAAATAAAGAGCAGATTGGACAACGTCTAGACAAAGAGAGTTCATATTCTGATCAAACAACTGTGGGTGGAAAACTTTAAAGGGAAACATTTAAAGTTTCTGTCTGGTCTAAGGTGCTCCTCAGCATTTAGGGAAAAATAGAAAAGTAATGTAATTATTTTTTTAAATGACAGTCCTGATTTGGAGTGTAGGTTAATGGTGCATGCATTCTCTTTGTGTATAGAAAAATATAACATGAATTAAAAGGACTCTTTCAGGTTAAAAAATTATGTGTTACCTGTCCTGGGTTACATTTTAGCTAAAACCTGAAATAATTTCATAGAGTTTAAGGTCAGAAGGGACCTAGTCCAACCTCCTGTATATCACACCAACACTATGAAACCCAAATGAGACCTAAGTATTAGGATCCACAGAAGACTGCCAGTCTGACCTGTGGGAAAATTCCTTCCCAACTCCACTTATGGCAATCAGTTAAACCTTGAGCATATGAGCAAGAATCAGTCAGCCAAACACTTGAGAAAGAGAATGCTTGGAGTTGGTGCCACCTCAGAGCTCTGGCCCACCCCACTGATGTCCCATTTCCAGCCATGGTCATCCCTGATGCTTCAAAGGAAGGAGATAAAAAAATCCTCACAGAATACATTGGGAAGGGGGGAGAATCCCTTCCTGATACCTGTCAGTTCCCAGCTGAAACCCAGACACATGAGCTTCAGGAACATATGCCATAAACCAGAAGTGAGACCTACTCCCACCATCACAAGCAATCCTATTATACAGTTCTCATAAATTTGTCCAGCTCTCCCTTAAAACTAATTACGTTGTTTGCACCCCCAACTCCTATTGGGAGGCTGTTCCAGAACCTCACCCTTCTGATGGTTAGAAACCACCTAATTTCCACCCAGAGTTTGTTCATGGTCAGTTTTATATCCATTTGTTCTTGTGCTGATTTGCAAAAAATAAATAATGAACCTAGACTAGTCGAGTTCATCATTGTTTCCTATAATTTCACTTTCTGGTTCATCTCTATTACAAAGATGCCGGAAAGGAATATTCTTCTTTAAAATAAACTTTGTCCTTTGCAGCAATAACAAAAATAACCATGGAAATATTTTTGTTAGGTTTTGTAAAAATGAACTTTTTCTAATCCCAAGTTTGGGCTCTATTTTGACCTACCAGTCCCCTTTTAATATAAATGGGAAATTATTTCCTGGGCAATTAAAATATAATAGCGAATTTAACTTTGTTTATTAGTTTCACTTTCAGACAGTTATGCACTAGCACAGTGGTGTTAATGACTGGGCTGCAGTCACTGCAGAGGAAGAGTTAAATCCAAACAAACTCCTTCTACTGTTTCTTTTTAAGATCATTATATCGATATTTAATTTAGTAAAACTTACTTTAAAATCACAAAACCCCAAATTCTAGACTTAATTTGACCTGACACTTTTCCTTTCAAAAAAGAGTTTGGGACAATAGGAACAATGCTAGGAAGGCCCCAGCGTGAGATGGAGATTCTGGGACTGCCTCATGTCATTGCAGGAATCTTTCTCCTTCACTGCATTTTCCTACACTAAAATGGGTTATTCTGTATCTCGGTGTCATTCTTACTAAAATAAAAAAACAACCTTCAGGTTCCATATTCATGGTATGTGGGAATAAAATGAGGAATCTCTCTTCCGAATGGATTTGTTATGGTGCAGCCAAGTCACAGGAGCCAAAGTTCCAGTCAGCATCAGCAATTGGCAATTGTAGGGAGTTCAAGGTTTTGAAAAACGATACATTAGCAGTCTCAGATGCCTTCATTTGTGGACCTCAAACTGATTTACAAACATTAATGAATTAAGCATCACAATCACATACCCTGAGAAGGTAGATGAATTAAAATAATTATAGAGCATTTTTCATTTGCAGAGCTTAAATTGCTTTATGATGTGGGTATTTTGCAGATGGAAACCAACGTACCAAAAGGTTAAATGACTTTTCCAGGGTCATGTAGGAAACTTGTTGCAGAGCCATGAATAGAGGCCAGCTCTCCAAGCCTTAACCACAAGATCATCCTCCTTCCTGCCATTTGGGACTCCTTTGAGTTCAGATGCTTAACAAAAATATGAACTGACACTGACCATATAAAGATTGCTGCTCATGTTGAGGACTTGAAGTCTTGTGTGACACTGTCCAATGACCTGCTCTGGCTGAGGTTTGGAGCAGAGCTGGTCGGGTCTTGAGAAAGCTATCTCCACTTCTTATTCATCAAAGCAAAGGTGATTGTGACCCACCGTCTTTAAATGTGCAGGAGACAGCAAAGGAATAAAGAGTAAGCAATATCTTGGGGAAACTCCCTATTTTCTGGTGAAAAAAGGTGATGAGTTACCTCTCTGGCTACCATGGACAGAGCACAATCCTGGGAGATTGTGTGTGGGAGGATTCCAGAGAGCAATTCGGGGGTACAGCTCACATTTCCCATGGACAGATACAATGATCACAGTTGTGTCCATTTGGTCGGTTTAGGTGGGAAGTACTGTAGCAATTAGCACCTCTTAGCAGACTTCACACGTTGCAGCATTTATCAGTTTGGATGTAGACTTGACACAGACTAGGAGCAAAGTGTAAACTGGCCAACAGCATTTTTGCCACTACTGAGAGCCTCTGAAGGGGTATAATAGTCCCACACAACTTTATTAAACCTTTCACAGATGATGCAATGTGCATTCTATATTTTTGTGAAGAGGGGAAGGTTATTTACAGTGATTGAGACCAATTTTTTAAAAAGATACTTTATCTTTGAAGGACTTAAAAAGTCTTCCGCTCTTTTATGAATACATCTGGGATTTATGTTCCCAAGTCCTGCTCTATATCATCATACTGTGAAGATGGTGGCTTCCCATTTGATTGTGAATTATTCTATTTAGTTATATTTAAGACATTAACATTTCTCTGTCACACTTGTAAAGTGCCTAGTATAGTAGTATGTTTCTCTTAATCTTTTTAGAGTTTGCTCCTCTGTGTAGTTTAGTGTAATGACCTCACTATTCTGTGCAGCATAGAGAATTATCTTCTGTATTACACAGCAGCTTTCCTTGAATTGAGTACTTTGGGGACAAATGTACCTGTCCAGGAAGTGCCCCCATTTCTTCTGAACACCACTTAAGCTTAGACACATTTGATTTCTTGGTTGCTTTTTGGGAAGAGCCTGCTCTTGAAAAGAGGAGCCAACATTTGGGCTCATTACTGAAAGACACAAGTGAGGAAGATAATATCTAATAATCTTTCTTTAAAACCACAGGATACAGCTTCTTAATGCACCCAGAAACCATCTCCCAGCTAGTCCTGGTCCCCCTTGCAACCTTCAGACATGGAAAATTTCAGAATGGCTGCATCTGAAGGCCAGTTGGAACCAAAGGACTTACTACTTGTAATCTTTCAGAGGTACCTATTCTAAACTCCAGATGCCTGGACAAATAATTAAAACAAAAATCTAAGGGTAAACATTCTTAATATAAAAAAGTTACTGCCTAAAAGCTTTTCCCCAACATAATCCATCAAATCACAGATAAATTGATAAACAGTTCAGAACCCCATAAAATAATACACCACCTCAAATCCTCCCTTACTGAACAACCCAAGAGAAAAGATGAGCTTTGCAACATGTCCGTTACAGTTGTGGCATAGGTTAAAGGAGGAGGCTGCAGTGCTTTACCCATCTAAGTTACAGTCCTACTACTAGAACAAAAACTAAAATGTACAGTGGCACAAATTTGGACAGCAGAGGTTCTTGTGACTTAATGGCATGGCACCTGACAGCTTTTGCCATAATAATGAATGTTTGGATGATAAGGACTTGTTTTTGCTGCATCAGTGTTCTTGTTTAATATAAATGTTCAGTGTTTGCGGACTTCCTTATCTGAAATAACTGACTTACTGAGTTGTGAATGACTTGATTAATTTAGGCTGTAATGTGAACTAAGTTACCATGCCTCATATGATGTTTGCAGCTCTACTAGTGAAAGGAAGCTTTTAAGATTCAGAGGCTCAAAATGACACTTGTCTGTTTTTCTTATATCTGTTTTCAAAATCCATTTTATTGTTTTCCATGCCTATTTTTTTTTTTTGCAAAATTAATTCACTACTCTTTTCCTCCCAATTATGAATCAATGTAGTTACAGCAGCCCAGTGCTTAAGATTAACCCTTCAATGACAAAATAATATGAGCAACCCTACAATAATAAAGAAGCTTGCTCAACCCAGTGCTCATAAGCAACTTTACATTAACAAATCAGTGTGAATTCATAAAGGAGAAATAAATAAAGAAGGAAGCAGACTTTAGGTTCAAGCTTCTATATGTATTTTTTTAAGGGTGAGATAAAAATATTACATCTTTCTAAAATTCTGTGCATGTTACTTTCAGATGATAATGAATAATCTCCTTCACTCTCTCCCAAACAGTGGACAGGACAGTGTACTGCATGGGAGTTGTCTTAAAGTGTTGAATTGCTGGCATTTCCTGACAGACTTTTGGAACAAGGTGTGTCTCCTGTATCTTGAACGAGGCATTCTATTCTACTGATAAATAATGATCTAGTTTTGATTAACCATTCTAGTATTGTTGCTTTTGTCAAGAATATTTAATAAAGTAGTTAACTGTGAATTAGCAGTCAATGCCACGACATGAAAGTACAATGTGGGGGTGTTATATAGGTATTATTCTTGTTTTAGAGCTATATGCTATATTATTTTAGAGCTATACGAATTCTGCTTTTTATGGCCATCTACCTCCTAAATCAGAAGGTTGCATTAATAGAATTGAGAGCAAATTCAGGCCCATAACATCTGATTTGTTCTGTCAATAACATAAATTGTAACGATTGTATTGAATTACATCCATCGTATTCAACTATTCCTCTTATACGTGCTGACAAATAAACATTGCAGTTTTCTATGGCAAAGTCAGCCCCTGACTTATCCACATCATGGCTCCAAGGAGCATCTGGGGAAGGAATACAAATCTTCCTATAATAAAGAGACCACCAGAGGGAGCCCATATAGTTCCATTATTGTAACAGCCACACTGACATTACTACATTTTACTACACCTCTAACAGAGTGTGTCAAAGTACTTTACTGGCATGAATTAATTTAACTTCACTATCCTTCCTCTTCCCAGATAGAGAAGCTGTCCTCCTCCTCCTCCTAATCTCCCTGTTACGGTGAAAAGGAGCTATTACAAGTGTAAAGGATGATGATTATGATGATTTGTGCCCTGGGAGCTCACTCTTAATTAACATGTGGGATTGTGAGAAATCCTGGATAACGTTTGGTTTTGTTTTTTTTACAGGGTTACATGTCAGCTGTTTGTGCAAACTGTGAACACCTCACTGGATGGAAGGAGTACCAAAATACATTATTATTAAGGGATTATGATGGGAAATTAGTTTGTAGTAGAGCAGGAGAGTAAACAGCTACTTTTTGGTAGGTACCAAACCTGGAGCCTTGTCCTCAGCAGAGCAATGTCTTGCCTCTTTAATTCCCCTCGCCACGTGGTGCAGGGAGTAGTTAAGATCAAGAAAACAGGTGTTTTGATGCCCTTCCCTGGACATTTAAAATTAGACTGGACAAAGAACTAGAAAGTATGGTATGGGGAATGACCCTGCACTGGTCTTAGGGAGATGGAGGGGATGAACTACAAGTCTTATTTATCTCTAATTTCCTCTCTCTCTAGAGGATGAGGAGGAGGATGTGCACACAAGTATGCCATCCTTTCATTCTTTGACCTGCCTGGATAAATAGAGGTAGGAGCACACATTTAAACCATCTACAATGTTGAGATTCATATTAAGATCTTGAATGCAGAAGAACCCATTGCAGCTCTGAGATAAATTCTAAGACTGGAATACTGATTTTTGCCTTCTTTCCCTGCTCATTTCCATCCTCTCTGCTCCCCCCAAACCTCTGAAGAACTGACAACCATTCCTGTCATGTCTCTGTCTGCAAGGTGGTCATTTCACACTAGGCCACTCTGTTTTTATCTCTCTATTTCCATCAGTGAGGAATCAGAACTGGGTCTGTTAGACTGACATCTGATAAAAGCCAAGCTTTGTGGCTGATGGGGGAGGGCTCTTTGCTGTCAGTGGTGCCATCTGATTCCCCTCTACCACCCGTTCTCTCCCATGCTGTTACCTTTCTGTGCCCTGGGAGCTACTTATGCAACCCGGGACAAAGAAGGATCTTATTTGTTTGCTGCCAGCACTGAAATGGCTCTGACAGGTCTAGGCACTGCAGCAGTGTATGTTCAAGGTGCGGTGCAGTGCAGTGCAGCTCACTTGAAGAGAGACTGTAATGTCAGACTCTGATATCACTGAAACTCAGAGTAAGGCTCTCCATCTCTTGCAGGTCTGAGGAGATTCTGTGAAAGAGAGAGATATGATAAGAAAATAATTTGGGGAATGCAAGCAATGCCCCACCCCACACTGCTAAGAGTGAGTGCGTGCTGGATCTGCAGAAAGGAATAAACCTGCCCTGTGAACTGGTCTCATTGTTACTGTGTAATGCTGTTGGAGCATGCCTGCAAAATCATCATGAATGTTTACTAGCCTAGGCACAAAGTCTACTTGCCTGCTTTTACCATGTTGCTGCTGAAAATCTAATGATACGTTAATTGCCCATCAGATAAAATCAGTTGTGCCTCAAACTAATGTGGTAAGTAGAGTTTTTCCAGGCTGTAGAATTAGAAACCATTTCATCATGGGTGGTCAGCATGCATGCTGCTGTTCTATGGATACCAGAATTGTTTTATGCCCCATTCCCAGAAGAGTCCAGGAAACTAATCTGAAGAACTGAAAAGTACTTGAAGTATTGATTTACACTCCCCTCTGATAGTGGAAAAGAGCAGGAGATTGTGCTCTACTGGTTTGTAAAGACTTGTGAAAATAAATTGTTTGAACAAACTGATGCATGGTATGGTGGGAATCGCTCCCAGTGAAACTCTATTTGCAGTGCAGTAGAATGAAAAGTCCCAAATTCCTCACTGTGTCACAGTTTTCCAATTTCAGTTCTGGTCATAGTGAATTGCTACTTAGAGTGAGAGTGTTCAGGGAGAAGAAAATGATTTCCCTTGAGAGGGGATCCTGCTGTGTGTGTTTTGCAGGGCTTATCTGGGCTCCCTGCAAAGCTATTCAAGCTCCACAGCCCAAGTGGTTTGAGCATTCGCCTGCTAAACCCAGGGTTGTGAGCTCAATCCTTGGCCATTTAGGGATCTGGGACAAAAATCTGTCTGGGGATTGGTCCTGTTTTGAGCAGGGGGTTGGACTAGATGACCTCCTGAGGTCCCTTCCAACCCTGATATTCTATGATAGGCTAACATAAGATTTTGAATGTGACCTTCTCCTCCATCCCTGCCCCATCTCTATCCCAAATTGTTCTCCCATACCTGCTGGGGTGGGGATAGGGAATGTATCAGGAATGGTATATGTGTGTTCGAGGAGGGACCTAACGGAAGAGCAGATGGAAATATACTGTTAAATAGAAAGAAGGAATTTACAAGGTGGCACAGTCAGGGATGATTTAAAGGGAAGATCCCCTGCTTCTTCCCTCCCGGTGGGTAGACTGTCATCACCAGAATTGTTAATAGGGACAGGCTGTGTTCCATGCCATGTGACACTGTCACATGAGCACTAATCATTGTATTAGCATCACAACTCTTTCCTGGTGGGGTACAGAGAAGGGATCTTACTGTTCTGTGTTCATGCCTAGACCCACTACTTTTTCAGCAGTGGCAACACAATTAGCTCCTGGCTGTGCAGCTACTGGGTATTGATGAATGATTGTACTCAACTCTCCAGTGATGACTGAGGCCTCCACCTGCCACAGTATTCCCCAATGGGGAATGAAAGCTGAGCAAGTGCTTCCTCAAGTATTTCTACTTCATATTTTATAGTAACAATTGTTTGCAGGCTTTAGAAGCTGGATGGGGTACATGCTACTTATATCAGCTGTTCCTTGGCTTTTCCTCTACTGTCTGGTCAGGATACCTTGGACTGCAAAAAGTTTTTGCAGAGGGTCTAGAAGTGTGGCAACATTACAGGGTTGACTGTCTCAGCGCAGGACCTCTGAGGGAAAGAGGGGAAGGAAGTGACATTCCTCACTCCATCAGCTATGATGCATCTTTAACACTGTTTTCATGGCATAGATATGTGGTACTTTAGGGGTATAGATAGAGAAGGAGAAGCCCTCAAAGAAGTCCCAAATGTCATCTTATTAATAAGCACTATTTTAATTGTACAGGTATTTTGGGTGCTCCCTCTTCCTCACAGGAAAGACATACTTTATATAACACTGAGCTCCTATGTAATACTTTCCTTTTTCAAAGAGCTTTACTATAATTAACTAATCAGTCCACCCAACACCCCTGTGAGGTAGGGAAGTGTTGTTATCCCCATTTGATTGATGGTGAAACTGAGCCACAAAGATGTGAAGTGACTCTCCTCAAGATTACACAGAGAGCCAGTAACAGAACTGGGAGAAGAACCCATGGCTCCCAATCCTGTTCTCTAACCACAGATCAACCTCCTGAAACAAAGCTGCTCTGTTTCAGTACAATAAATAAGACTGACAAAAATATAGGTCCTGAATCCTCTCCCATCCAAATAAGACCAAGTAACCCAGTTCCTAATATTGCACTGTCCACTTCAGGAGGGATTAAGTGTTCTTGGATGTGGCATGTAAGGAGAATGCTCCAGCACCCTATTAAATCTTTTTGAGGACAATGGCAGAAAAAAAAAGACTATAAATACAGTCATTAACATAATGTTAATGAGTGCAGTCTCTGCATGTACCTTGAACTTACACTATAAGGGCTATTTATTCCAGGCCTAGGTGGAGCTCTTCCATCTCTAAGGCAATTACATTACGGTCACCTGTCACTTAATACTAGCTCTTTACTCTCTGCCATGTTAAAGAGAATAGTGAAAAATACTGAAAGGCTGGACTGATGTCCAAGGGCTTAAACCTGCAAATCCTTACTTAGGCAAGTAGTTTCAACAAAATAACATTGAGTAAAGTTTACCTGAGTGAACAAAGCTGGTGGGATCAGGGCCGCAAGTTGTACTCAGCAGAAGCACAATCATTCGTAGGATTCAGGATTGTCAGCAGCACTAAACAGAGAGAGACTAAGACAGAGAAGAGGGAAGGGACAAGTCATATCAACAGGTGACAAGTTTTCTCCCTGACAGATGGTTTTAACATGGTGTTTGGTGTTACAGTGAGACATCCATTTAACATTTTGTCTCAGCATGTTTCGACGTTTTGAACATTCTTTTGTCCCCCTGCAGGCTTTCCTAAAAGAATCCTGAGCTTCTGGTTTCTTTAATCTCCTTTGTTGTCTTTAAAGAAAAAGTCAAAGATGTCTCTGTAAGTGTAAGTTTTCTGTAACATACCAGGGAATGTAATTAAAGGAGAATTCTAAAAGTTCAGAATCATTGTACCAAGGACATGATATTTATCAAGTGCCCCTCCTCCGACAAACAAACAAACTTATTCCTCAGAAGTAGCACGTCCCTGTGAAGTGACATGAATTTGGTGGAACTGAAACAGCAATGGGAAAAGCAGTTGGTTTTCAAGGCTTCAATATGTATACCCATGTGTGTAAAAGAGGGAATAGAAATATAGTTTTGTGTTAAATTAGGGTATGATCTTCCTCACCCCAGTAATTCCACTGAAGTTAGGACTTGCAGGATTGGGCCCCTAGCTTGTTTCCCCCCACCCCTCACCCCAGGCAGATGAAGTCTGGCCTTTGTAGACAAAAAGACAAGCTGTGTGCATGCATGTGCACCCCCTCCACTCCACAGTCCCCGTAAGTGTGTTTCTCTCATGTTCTCCCCCAGCACTGGAAGGAGATCATTCAGCAGGTAAATTTGGGGGAGTTTCCCTCTTTTTTTTTTTTGGACTGAAGAAACACAAAAGAAGCTACTACACCACTACCTCGATATAACGCAACCTGATATAACACGAATTCGGATATAACGCGGTAAAGCAGTGCTCCGGGGGGACGGGGCTGCGCACTCTGGTGGATCAAAGCAAGTTCAATATAACGCAGTTTCACCTATAACGCGGCAAGATTTTTTGGCTCCCAAGGACAGCGTTATATCGAGGTAGAGGTGTACTGGATATTTCTTGAGCAAGGAGGAGTAATGAAAGCAAGCTAATGAGATGCATGTATTGCTGGACTGGCACATCCGTTTTAAATGTCAATAATGTCTTCTGTTATAAATTGAGCATTTCCAGGTAATGAAGGAGACGACAGAGTAGCAACCTCAGGAACTGTGAGGAGTGCAGTTCTCTCCCTATGCACAAATCCCATACCTCATCTACCTATTGACAAAAACCAAGTTGATTTGAAACAAAAGTTACATTTACCACCCCAGATTTTAAAATAAATATCTAAACATATCCAAACCCAGCATTCAACATCAACTTATTTTGACTGAGGAAGCTCATGAGCTCACAGGATTGAGTCCTATATCTACCCATGACCCCACTCAATGTTGTAATTTCTGGGGAAGGTGGCAACCAACCAATTACATGGCACTCTGCAAGCACAATGAGGGAGATGGAAATGTGGCTAGGGAAACCAAAGAAAACCTCTCACACTTACAACAAGAAAAATTAGACTGTGGAACTCATTGTCACAGGATGTCATTAAGACCAAGACTTTAGAAAGATTAAAAATGATTGGACATTTATATGGTTAGTAGTTAATGCTAACAATTTTTTTTGACAATATAAAACCTCATGCTTCTGGGTTTAAACCAGTTTTAGGGATTAGGATAAGATTTTTCATGGGAGAGGGGCAGATTATCCCACATCTGCCTACTGTGGCGTTACTTGCACCTTCTGAAGCATCTGGGTGCTGGCCAGACAGAGATAGGATGCTGAACTAGATGGACCATAGGTCTAATTTCATATGCCAATTCTGATGTTCCTAGGTATCCCAGCCCTAAATGATTAAACTGGCTCTATTACTGTGGGGGCTCACAACCTGCAACATGTCAGAATAAAATATGCATAAATTAGACAGGCACACCCTCCCTCCTTAACATGGATGTCACTTTCAAATTTCTGATGTGTGGGTTCCGGTCCAGGGTTCACCCTATTCACTACTAAAAGACCCCCTGAGATTTCCCCATTCCACTGAGCTTCCCAGTCTGTACCTGATCCTACCAGGGCCATTCCCTCCATACAGACTCCCAACTCCTGCAGCTAACACTTCCCAAACCAGCTTTCTAGTTGGAAGGAGGGATTTCTGGCAGTCAGTCAGACTTTCATTGCCAGCAGAACTCAAATGAACTAAGAGAAACAAACCAGATGTGTGACGGGTCAGAATTCTGCCCAGTTTTGTTCTGTCTCCACCATTTAGGGTTCGAATCGAGTACAAGACTCTCTCCTCCCTAATGCGTTGTTTACACCGATTACATATAAAGGCGGAAGAGGAGCTCCGCCCGTAGCAACCCCCCTCGCAAAGGCAGGTCCACCGGGGAGGAAAGGTGGTTCCCTGCGGAGGGAGAGAACCGCGCCCCCAGAGCACCGTGCTGGGCGGAGCCCCTTACGCGGTGGGCATGGCTTCTCTGGCTCATACTGTCCCGCTGAGCGGCGAGGAAGGGGGCCAGGGGCCGGCTCCACCCTACCTCTACTCCCCAGGCAGCTTTCTTGCACTGCAGGGGAAATGTAATAGCTCAGAATGAGCAGGCTCGAGTCCTGTACCCAGCCGGGACGGGAAGGACACCTGGGCTAAATAGGTCACACACCCCCAGAAAGCACCATGTCCCAGCACTGAGGGGAGTGAATAGCTCAGGACACCCCCCCCCGGAAGGCTCCATGTCCCCACTGAGAGGGGAGTGAAAAGCCCCGCCCCCCCCCCCCCCCGGAAGGCTCCATGGCCCCAGCACTGAGG